CCCCAGCCGGCCAGAGAAAAACCCACATGTCGAAGCAGACCTCTCCTGTCTTGCCCGCTGCTCCCCTCAGCAGTGTATTTCAGTCAGTCTGCCTGTTCTGTTTCCTGCTGTCTCTGGTGAATCCGCTCACCCCCCTACATCTCTGGCCTGTACTCCAGCTCTTGTATGCATAAATAAATCAATCTTTAAAAAAAGAGAGAGAGAAAGAGAGAGAGAGATGCTTGTATGTTGTACCTATGCCTGCTGAGTACTTAATGTAATGCTTGGGTAAAGGGAAGAAAGTAATATTATCAGAACTCTACCTGAATTACCTGGTAAAGGTTACAAATAGCACTTAATCCTGATGAATAAAATTGGTTAAGATTCATTCAATGTGATCTTATCTAGTCACCACTTTTCAATGAGGCAAACATTTAATACTGAAAATCCTCAAAAAATTAAACATATTGTATATTCTTTTAGGGTACTGATCAAGGATTGTGTTTACTGAGGTCAGCACTAGTATACTGGATAGTTGGGGTGTGGAGTGAGTTCAGTGACAAAAATGATAAATAGCAGCTCAGAGTAATATTTAGTAGCTGAGTCTGAAGCCTAACTGAAAAAAAACACAATGTTGAGAATAGGAGAAAATAAACTAATAAACTAACCTACACATAAAACTTTAATAAGCAATTTAAAACTTTATACCAATCCCGACTTTAAATATTAAGGCTGGTTCAGACTTTCAGTGACTCTCAAAAAAATCAACATTATATGAAACTCTGGTAAATACATGAAAAAAATATATCAAATGTAATTGCAACAAACGATTTAATAAGGTGCTGCTACAACTAAGGAAAAGATTGACTAGAAACTACACTGTTCCATGATTGTAGAAATATCAGCAAATGTACTGATTATCAAAATTAAATATTTATATGTAAGAATTTTCTACGCACAGGATTTTTCTATGCATATTCTATTGGGATATTCAAAGTGCTTGAGGAAAACATTCACCAAGAATTGTTCATTTTTTTTCTCAGTTACTTTAACCCTACTGATACCCTGAAAATTCTGTATCTTAACTTATAGCCCAAGATGCTTTATTAGTAGGTATGCTAACTAAACTAACATATGCAAGAAAGTTAAAAATACCCTTGGAGTATCCGTGGTTGTGGAAAAATCACACGTGCATGTATGAGGGGAGAACATATGTAGGGCACTTACATATATTATTTGAATATATATATATTCGAAAATATAAATACCCATGTTTAAAATTTAAGAAAATTTAGAAACAAAGGTTTTCAAATGCCCTATGCACTGTTTTTCATCTTGTTCACCTTGTCACATTTCCCTCAACTACTGAAATTACATACAAGTATTTAGAGTATGTGGGCTCCATAGATCCTAGTACAGAGCATGAAAGGAGAATTATGTAAAAACAGAGATTACAGAATAAAGTTATTTCACAGAAATTAGACACAGAAAAAGTATATCTAGTAGAAAATACATGAACTATTAAAATTTGAGCTACCCAAAACCCCTGATAATTTATCTTTTATGTACAGAAAATACATTTAAATTATTAAGTTTCATAATGAAAAATATATTCTGTAAAGAGGCTTTCTTCTAATTAAACATTTACTCAATCATTTGCATTTAGAAATTGTGGTTTCCTAAATTACTTTTATGCTAATGTCATTTATATGTGCCAGTTTAGGACATAAACATTAATATTACTCCTTGTATCCTTGCTCATTCATCAAAATAACTGAGGAGCATTATCCCTCCCCCTGGTTCATTAATAAATCCTAATATGCAAAAATATCCTAATCTCCAGGTTCTTCTCTTGGTCAAAGTGGCAACCGCACAGCAGGACCACCTTCAATCTCAAACTTTTTGTAAGTTTTATAGACAAGTACTTAAGTGTTCTCTGGTGGAAGATGGCAACTGGGAAAAGGAAAATACAGGTTAAAATACAGATATCCTTACCCTTTCCATGACAATCAGTTTTTCTAAGGAAGCAACCTATGAAATATCGTTAATAGGTGTTAGGAGGCAAACATGTCTAAATGCCATTTGCAGTTATGAAATGTGATGCAGAAAAACACCCAGGAAATTAGCGGTTCTGCTTCACACTGATAACCTGACAATCAAATAAGGATAAACAGACAATGGCAAATTTCAAATTGTCTTAAACTCGACATTTGGATTAAAATCTTAAGCAATAAAAGACTATTAAGCACTATATATATATTAGAAGAACATGAAAGGGAAAAGAATTGTTTTACTGAAACAAACTGAAAAGTTCAAGGCAAATCTGCCTAGATTAAGAAATTGCAAAATAAAGCAGCATTGAGAAGGGAAACATGAAAAGATTAATGGGGTAAAAAAAAAAAATACACTTAATTAAATAATGGAAGTGCAATTTGGTAAAAAATAGAAAACAAAGTAACTCTTGAATTGCAACATATACTTTAAATGCTACAGGACTAAATTTAACCATTTCCAAAGATGTTTAGGCACTGAATAATTATCTTAAAGATGTAAAGCACAAACATTTCTAAACCAAGGGAACAACTATGGTCCTTTATAAAAATAAAAGTTGTAGTCCCAGGAAGAATTTACCTGAAATTTGTGAAACATGAAATTGTGTCATGGAACTTGGGAAAAGATCAAAATCTATACCTAAATGTGGCATTGTGATAGTACTTTGCACTATGAGATAGAAAATTGAAACCCTTGGGTATAATTAATTCCTTTAGTTATGTGTAACATTACACTTTTTTCAGTATCTTTTATTTTCCAAGTCATCAATCTCAAAAAGATATAAAGGACTATCTTACATTATTCCATAGTGAACCGTAAGGTGACTTAAAGCCTCATCTTCAATAGATAAAAACAAGTTATAATAAAAGAACATGGGAGAGTTAAGGGAAAAAAAAAAGATTGCTTCATATTTTCAAATAACTTCTTTTCCAAGGGTCTGGAGTTTATGAAAATAAAAAGACACCTATGAGTCAGTCATTTAATTTAGGAATGAATTCAGAATTCTTTCTGCATGGTCGACTATTGTATATGCTTCAAAAGCGGAAATATATCTTAATGTACTCAGTTACTGCACTCCAATGAAAATCTTGTTATCTTTCAGAGCAGTTATACAATGTGGTTTAATTAAACCCTGATAAAACGCATAAGTTCTTCTAACATGTTTACTAATATAGAAATGAAATGAAGACTACTCATGAAATAATAGTGTCCATAAGTCACTATAATAGTTGCACATTTGCCTATGGGAACAGTAATCAGAGTATCTGAGTGTGGTGAGAGAGGATGTTTTCTTTTTTATGTCCTGAGTGAACACCAAGGGATTAAAGCCAGATTCACCTCAAATTCATAGAAAAGAATTCAGACTCCGTTTTGGAATACAAGTTAAATCAAGGAGAAAAAAGAGGGCTGTAAAACCATATACAATGTGGTCAAAGTTTCACTTTTGTATTAGGTGTATTAGGGGCAACCTGAAATGTTGTATATTTGTATCACTGTCACACAGTTTTTGGACTAAACTGTGTTTTTCCACAAAAAGAAAAATCAACTGTTTTTCCACCTTAATATTCAACCTACCTGCCCATAGTTGTCTATGCCAGTTACTAATCTATTTAAATTTAATAAATCAAAAGCTGTCCTTAGGGATTGGCCAAGAGTCGTAAGTCCTTCAGCCTGAAGGTTTTTCAGTTCATTCATAAACGTTGCATGGTTTTCTTTCCATCCGGCCTGGAAAAAAAAAAAAGTAGATTTTTTTTTTCCCCGACTTATAAAGCTATGTACACACGGACAGCCGTTATAATCTGTGGTTCACCAAGTAGCTGCTTCATCTCACAGTATAGTCTGCTTAACGTGTTAATACGGTACATCTGCTGAGGAAACTTCCAAAGGTGACCAAGACTAAATAACCCTGCCTGCACGCCAGCCTTGCTAACTAACACCCTCAACACTCTAACTTCACTGAGAAAATTACTCCCCAACCCCATAGCTAAAATTATGGATGCAAAGGTCCTGGAGGCAAGCAGAAGTGAGCGGGACTTCTGAAGTTACCCCACAGCCGCCCCGCGGGCCCTAGGCCCTCGCGGGAAGACCCCGAAGCCCAAACCACGCCGTCCCGACCCCGCTCGCCGGCCAGCCCGGGCGACCGCCGCCGGGTCCCGGGCCAATTCCCCTTTAATGCAAACCGGGGCTCGGCGCGGCCGGGCCCGGCTGTCACTCGGGCTAACTTGAATAAATATCCCCCACAGTTCATTGCTGCCGCTCACGCCGCGGAGGGGAAATGTCGGCCATGTTGATCGCAGCAGCGCCGCCGCCGCTGCCGCCGCCGCCGGGTCGGGCCGGGGAGGGGACGGAGGTGGCCGGCGACTCCGCGCCGCGCCGGGACACTCCGGCGCGGGGGGGGGGCGGGAGCCCGCAGGGGAAGAGACCTCGGCGCCCGGGCGGGGTGGGGGAGGGGCGCATAATGAAGGGTGAATGGGGGGGCGGGGAGGGCGAGCGAGGCAGGAACAGGGAAGGGAAGGGAAGGGGAAGCGAGGGAGGGAGGCGGAGGGCGAGGGCTGTTACCTTGATAGCGTAGGGCGGCTCTTCGAAAGTGACCAGCATATACCTGTCTCCTCGGCTGGCAGGGTCCCGGGCGCGGAGCTGCGGGGCGCGGGAGAAGGAGCAGGGCGGGCGAGAGGGAAGCACACGGGCGAGGTTACCCGGCGGAGAAGGGGCGCCCGCGGCCCCGCCGCCCCCACAGTACCGCACACGCAGCAGCCCCCCGCCCCGCCGCCCCCCACACACAGATCGGCCCGCACGCCCGGCCCGAGGCCGGAGCCCCGGTCGGGGCCGAGGCCGGCTCGCAGCGCCCGCCCGCCCGCCCGCCCGCGCGGTGGGGGAGGGGGTCCCCGAGCCCGGCGGCTCCCGCAGTCAGGTCCGACACCTCCGCCTCGCCGCCCCCGGCTGCCCCCCCCACCCCCGCCGCCCGCGGGCCGCCGGCCGGGGTCGCCGCCCGGGCTCGGTCAGTCGGTACCTTCATGAAGGTCTCTACCGCGCCTTTGGCCGTGTCCAGGTAGGTGGTGCCCAGATGGCTGCGCTGGTTCATAGAGGCAGACGTGTCTATCAGGAACAGTAAGATGGGCATAGTGCTGGCCGGGACCCCGGGCCCGCGGTGGTGGAGAAAGAGATGGTAGAGGTGGAGGCGCCGGTGGCGGCGGCGACCGCCGCTACGCGGGGCGGGGGAGCGCGGCCCCCGGGAGGAAAACACCGTCTGGTCTTTCCTCCGGCTGCGGGGAGTTTCTCCCCCGATAGTTGAGAGGAAACTCCCCAGACCCGGTCCTCCCCGTCGTACCCCCGCCTCCGCCTCCTCCTGCCTGCCTGCCCGCTGGGGCGGGCGCCCGGCCGTCAGTCTGTCGGTCCGTCCCCCCCCGCCTCGGGGGTCCCGTCCCGCTCCCGGCCCCTGTGTGTGTCCCAGCGGGAGGCGGGCCCGGCTCCCCACCCCACCCCGGTGCAGGGAGTGGGGACCTGGGAGCTGGCGAAGAGGGGAGTGGGCTGAGGGGAGATTGGCCCTGGGGCTGTTGGGAGAAGTTTCAGGGACTCCCTCCGCACCCCGGCGGTGTCACCACTTTCTCAGCCCCTCTCGCTACTGAAGCGCTTTTCTCTCTCACACTCCGGTTTTAACTCAGGCAGAGGCTGCGGAGACTCCGCCCCCTGACACGTCCTCTAGCCACGTGACGCGCCGCCCCGCCATTCTATTGGCTAACCCCTAGCCTGTCATTAGCATATTCAAACAGCTCAGGGGCGGGGGGAACTTGTGGGCTGCCTCCGGGAGCAGTTAGTGAGCACGCGCGGAGGCGGGGCGTCGGGTGCGCGCGAGAGCGAGCGCGAGGGGCGAGCAGGCGGGCGGGCAGACGCGGAGGCGGGCTCCGGGAGGGGCGTGGACGGGCCGCGGGGTGGGGTGGGGGCCGCGTCGGCGCGCGCAGGGCGGCCGCGAGTCTGCGCTTCGGGGCTCCCCCCCCTCCTTGGCTGTTGGAGGTGATCGGGGTCGGGGGAAGGGAAATGGAGGCTGGCCTCAGCTCCCCTTGTGAGGTGGCCGTAGCGAGCCCGTTCCCCGGCGGCCGACTGAGGAGATGTGTAGTGATCAAGCCCCGGGCCAGGAGAAGGCAGCGGGCCCGCTCTCGCCCTGCGAGGAGGGCTCTGGGCCCGCGGTAGTGGCGGAGGCTCCTTGGGCCTCGGAGGGCCGGCCCCGGCGCGGGCGGACCCGGGCGGGGGAGGGGAAGTGAGAGGTTGTTTATGACCTGGGACTAATCTCTGCTAGTCATAACGCTCTGGCTGGGGAGTGGGGACGGGGGCCGGGCTCCCCGGGAGGCTCGTGCGGCCTTGGGGCTGGCGAGCAAGGATCAGTTTTCTGCACCCGAAGGTCGGGGATCCTACCGATGGGAGACCCACCGAATAGGGAAGAAACCTTCCTTCTAACGCGGCCCTAAAAGGGCGTGATGAAGACTCCCAACTATAGATAAACAGTTTGTTGCCCGTTTTCTCGTCAGGGAAAAATAACCGGTCATCGTTGGAGAAATGTCTCTCAATCTATGTGTAGTTAAGGGCCCCACAATATCGGTTTCAGAGCCGAAAGGAAGCTTAGTAAACCCAATAAAAATATAGTTGAGCTTGCCCAGGTGACCCAGAATTGGGTTCCCCCATAACCCTGCCAGTGCTTTTCTCTCACCATATGCTGCCACAGATTCGTACCAAATGCCGTGTGTGTGTGTGTGTGTGTGTGTGTGTGTGTGTGTGTGTGTGCGCGCGCGCGCGCGCGAGAAAGACGTTCTTGGTTAAAACATGCCTGTGTGATCATGCCTGAAGTAATGAAACCTGTCCTATATGCCAAAGAAAACAGTTAACTCAAATATGCTAGTTGAAAAACTGAAGGCATTGCCTAAATGAATTACAAGTTGAATTGTGAACTTAAAAGCCTTATGAGACTGTGACTATATATAGGGACTCTACTACTAGCCTTGCATTTCAGGGTTTTTTTATTCTTTACCCTGGAATTCTTAATTATTTGCTTATTGATCATTTACAGAAGTTGTTCCAATTAACTTTAATATAGAAGAGACATTTTAAAATCTTGAGTCTCATAACTTGGACTTTTCCTAATATGTAAAACAAACTTTGTAATTTATAGTAGGCCTATTTCAATCACTTTGTTAATTTATAGTAGGGCTATTTTGTATGGACTATGGAAAAGTGAGATTTTTTTTAAAAGAGATTTGGATTATGAAATAAGATGATATACAGATCTTACATCTAGTGTTTGCTGAGGACCTACTGTGTGCTGGGTAAAGTGGGGATTTAAAAAAAAAAAAATGATCCCTGCCTTCAAAGAGCTATGGCTTTTCTAGAAAAATATAAGTATTGTTAGGTTCTACAAGGCAGAAAGTGACTTGATATTAAATAATTCAGAAAAGAGAAATGCACTACCTTGGGGTGATATTTTCCAAAGTCATTATGTTTAAGCTGTGCCTTAAACCATTATTTCTCAAACTGGGATCCCAGACTTAGAGATAAGATTCACTGCTTTTTGATACTTGAAAATTTGTGTTTTCATTTTGATGATAGTATACAGTTTCGGGTTTTTTTACCAGTTGCAAAGACAAAATTTTTCAAAGTGAAAATTTGCAAACCAAAAGATCTTCATAGAATTGGTCTTCAGTTTTCTATACCGGGTCTTGTGCCTATTCAAAAATGTATTCGCTAGAAACATAAGAAATTCTTTTACATTACTAAAGTTGAGAAACTGCTTAAAAGGATCAGTAGGGTTTGGATGTGTGGGTAAAGGAAGAGGAAGCAGCTGGTGAAAAAGTCCTTTAAGACATTAAAAATGGGTCCTTCATTCTTCTGTCCCTTTTCCTAATAAACCAGTTCTTTAAACATAAAACAATAAAAAAGACATTAAAAATGTAGTGAAGAAAGTAAGTATAGCATTGTGACCTGCGTTCTGAGAAACAGAAGTTCAGCACCAGATACATGAAGAATAGTATAAGGTCTAGAAAGATAGATCAGTTCTAGACAGTATTCTAGGCTAAGTTTTCAGTTGGGGTGCTTAGTACAAAGCAGTTTTTGAAATACAAATCAGATTACTGAAGTAGAGGTACATGTAGGTACATGTATTTGTGGTGACTTTACCTGTTAGTTATTTGAAATCATTTCCAGTGGGGCCATTTATGGTTCTTACTTCACTCAGTGGATTTAACAGATTGTCATACTAGGCTTATAAGTTGAAATGTATGGGAAAGCATGGTTAGATGCAAAGATCAGGAGAGCCAGGTCCATCCAATGAGCCAAGCTGGAGCATATAACCAGAATCAGTGCATATGGTGGCACCTGATATCAAAGGACCTGTTTCCAGTTCACAAACTGAGAATTGCTAGAAGAGAAGGTCTAAGAAACAGGAAAGAAATCAGGATGTACACAGGCAGCAAATCAATAAGCAACAGAACCAAGAAGCATTGACAAGTGATCCTTAGACAAACTGTGAAATAGTTCCAGTTTATTTTTAGTGATTCTGTTTGACAATTAAGCCATTAGTTGTTGATGGCTTAAGGTAGGTGCTGGGCCCAGGAAGTGCACTTCAGCATCACCCATAGAGCTTAAAAATAATAAATGTACCAGGCCTCCCTGGTGGCGCAAGGGGTTAAGCACAGCACTGTGAAGCTATCCTCAGCTCTGCAGCATGAATTCCATCCCTGGCCGGCCAGAGAGCTACCCACATGGTGCAGCAGACCTCTCCTGACTTTCCCGCTGCTCCCCTCAGCAGTGTATTTCAGCCAGTCTGCCTGTTCTGTTTCCCACTCTGTCTCTGGTGAATCTTCTCACCCCCCCTGGCCTGTACCCTGTATGCATAAATAAATCTTAAAAAAAATAATGTACCAGATCCCCAACCCCAGAACTAGAATGCACCCATGTCACCTAATGTTTAAAAAGCTTTCAAAGTGAATCTTATAAATAATAATGATTAAGAATTACATGCTTAAAGTATAAGACTAATGTTTCTGTCTAGCATCTAGAGTACTCAGTAAATAACCCACCACCCATAGTTATTGCATTTCTTAGAAGAACACCTAAAATAAATCTGCAAACTAAAAAGGAAAAGAACTATAAATATGACAGCAATAACACTAGATTTGTATCATATGCTAATTTAAATTGCTTGACTTCAACTATGTTTGACAAAAAATTAAAAGAGAAACTAAATAGTGCCAGGGATAACCACTGTTCTCAGTGAGCTTTAGCATGAGATAGAAAGCATGAAACTCTTCACTCAATCCCTGATTCTAGGCTTATTTTTCTAAAACGTGGCCCCTAAATGCAAGCCAACTATTTCGTCATACTCAACTGAAACAGTGAGCTGTTGCAATTCTAGAGGGAAAACTAGTTGGAGTAGTGTGTGCTAAAGTCTATGCTGTTGCAGTCAGGGGCTAGGGGAGATTTTTCTGGTCAAAAGAGATATTTGGGAGAAAGCTTGCTTTATGCTGCTGTTTTTAAGGAACTTCTGCCTAAATGTTATGGTTCCAGTTTAAAAGGGTATGAATAAATCATATGAAACCTTCTGAAAGAATGGTGACTGGCTTAAACAATAGCCCAAACTGTTGAAATGGAACTATTCTAACAATTAAAAGCTGATGAATTTGATTCATCTGTAGGAGACAACCAGAGGACTTTTAAAATATTTTAAAACAATTAAGCAGTGCACCACAGTTTAAAAATGATTATGTGTCCGTGACTTGGCTTGTGGTATCTGGATATGCCATCTGAACAGGATAATCAGATGAACCTAATGTTCTTCATCTGTAACTTAAAAAAGTTTCTTTTGGCTGTTTTACCATTTCCTTGACTCTACTTTATTCTTTGATGTCACAATAGTCAATGATGTTGAGAGGTTGAGAACTTAATCAAAAAAACTCATGAAGTAATAATAAACATAAAAATTAGGTTTGAAACAATCCAGTAGGATGTGTTTACATAATACATATATAAGGAGTTAATTTTGTTCATCCTAATATAACATCCTCA